TGCTGTTTGCCGCCGGCGGCCTCGTGCCGACTGCGAGAGCGGCGTGGCGGGAACGCGCGGGAAACGTGGTGCCCGCCGGATGGGCGTGGTAATAAGCACAGAGCTGGCCTCGCTGGCAAAAGATTTGTGACAGAACCGCGGGAATGGGAATTAAAACCTGGACTCGAGGATACGAGTTTTGACGGAGCTATCAAGAAAACAGGAAAGAGCAGCCCAGACACCCGGCTTTTTCTTTTCCACCTCTGCTTTTTCCTAGATATACTCTAGCAGTAAGCTAAAAAACCAGCTTATTTCTGTCTCAGGTGTAAGACAAAATTGAGGTATCGAGGGATTAAACATACATGGCTTAGAATCAGAGGAGCTGGCCAGAAGTGCGCGGATGACATTTCATTGGGACTAGGATGATTTCACTGAGGAACTCAAATACACGTGAATTGCCAGGGGCTAGATATCTCTTAGGTTCATTATAAAGGAAAACATACCAAGTGGTCCTGTGCAGGAAAGATTCTTGGAACAGTTACCCAGTACATGATTTGGCAACAAATCAAGGAAATTTGGGGATATTATAAAAAAATTCTTCCAAAACTAAAGGAAGGTGAAAAAAGAGACTAAGCAGAATATTAAAAGATAATCTGGATGGGGAATCTGTATTCACCCTGTGTGTTCATAGAGACCATGTTGTCGTTAAGATCTTCCCTTATCCTCAGAGTCAGCCCAGGTCAGCTAAGGTGAGTAGAGTCTTGCCAGCAGCAGACAATTTGATCAGTTAAACTGTCACTCAAGAGCAACCAGGGGATGCTGCAGCAGAGAAAGATCATGAAATGATACAACCCACAGTTAGCTAGTTATTATGGGAATAAAATCTAGAAGATGGGTAGCTCCAGATGTCATTATCATTGTTGTGTTTTTAATTTGCAGCGTGAATGCATATCCATCCACGTTGGTCAGGCTGGTGTTCAGATTGGCAATGCCTGTTGGGAATTGTATTGCCTTGAACATGGGATCCAGCCTGATGGCCAAATGCCTAGCGATAAAACTATCGGAGGTGGAGATGATTCATTTAACACCTTCTTCAGTGAGACAGGAGCTGGTAAACATGTTCCCAGAGCAGTGTTTGTGGACCTTGAGCCAACTGTAGTTGGTACGTACCCAACATTAAAGATCCTGATACCCAATCCCCTACTTTTTTACAATCCCCCATCTTTTTTGATTGTTCAGAACATGATAGATTTTAAAAGACCTGTGGTCTGGGTGCTGTTTTGACATTTGAGGTTATTGTTACTTGAAAGAAATGAAACAACGGTCTACAGGTAACAACATTTGGAAAACAACAGAACTTTTTTACAGTCTGGATAATCTTTCTAGACTGCTGCACTGCATCCAAAGTTTTGTTTAATTGCTTTCCGGAATCTAGTTTGTACCTGTAGTGTAGTTTTCTGAGTGACCTCTGTGTTCTCGGGTACAAATACTGCTTTGTGAGTGCCTGATGTTTTCCCCTAAACAAAGGGGCTGAGATTGTGCCAACTTTTTAGGCTGGTCAGACAAGCTGCCTGTGGTCAGGGATGCTGCCTACACTCTTGACATGTGCGCTTAGCATGTAGGCACTAGGCAGCACACACAGACCTGAACAGATCAGATTTAGGTTGTGGTACTTTTGTTCCTTTGTAGATGAAGTACGTACAGGCACATACAGGCAGTTATTCCATCCTGAGCAGCTCATTACTGGGAAAGAAGATGCAGCCAATAATTATGCCAGAGGCCATTATACCATTGGAAAAGAGATTGTTGATCTAGTGCTAGACCGCATTCGCAAACTGGTAAGAAGTCGTGCTGCAAGTCAGTATTTACAATAATGGATACAGCTCTATAGCTATGTCTTTTCCCAACGAATTTTGTGTGTAGTTGATTATATAAAACAATACAAAAAACCACTTTTATATCCTTGCTCCCCCCAGTTCAATAAAAATTCAGTCAGTGAAACTTAAAATTTTTTAGGCTCTGAAATACCATTATTTAAAAATATTTTAAGGATACCTCAGAATCATATTATAAAAGCCTTAAACAAGCGTAGCGACGTTGTTATACTTGTTTGTTTGTTTGTTTGTATTTGCAGTTTGAATCATGCCATTCTATGTCAGGCAAAATATTTCTAGTACCCTAAGCTCAGGTTTTGGTTGGATGCTTAGCAAGTTTAGTTACTCTCTAGGTTGTTTTTTTTTAACTTGGCATTGCATTGCGAGATTCACGTAGGATGGTATGACTCAAAGTAAAACAGCGATTGTCTATTTCAAATTGAAAAATAAAAGAAAAACATTGTTTTCAACATCTAATTGATACTTGCTGAAAGCTAGAATGGGAACATAAACAGATTTTAAAGCCGTAACCCAGCTGTAATTTATAGTAACTTGTCACAGTGGGGTGCAGCTGCTCTTGCTTACGGTAGTAGTAAAATGGCATCGAAGACAATAAAGCAACTTTTAAGTATTACAATACTCCTATTCAGAAAAAGTTATGCAGAGGCACTGGTGCTTTTGAATAAAAGACGCATGAGAAAAAGGAAGACCACCTTTCAAGAATGCCGCTTTTTTATTGTAATAATCTAAAACTAACGAAATGCTTTTGAATGAGTATTTTAATACTGCTTCCTCAGAAACCATCAGTAACTTCTTTTTCTCCCACTTTTTTTCCACCCCTTGCTTTTTTATTGTAATAATCTAAAACTAACAAGAAATGCTTTTGAATGACTATTTTAATACTGCTTCCTCAGAAACCATCACTAACTTCTTTTTCTCCCACTTTTTTTCCACCCCTTCATAGGCTGATCTGTGCACAGGGCTGCAAGGTTTCCTTATCTTCCATAGTTTTGGTGGAGGCACCGGTTCAGGGTTTGCATCTCTGCTCATGGAAAGGCTCTCTGTTGACTACGGCAAAAAGTCTAAACTAGAGTTTGCGATCTATCCAGCACCACAGGTTTCCACTGCTGTAGTGGAACCTTACAACTCAATTCTGACTACCCACACAACATTAGAGCATTCAGATTGTGCCTTCATGGTAGATAATGAAGCCATTTACGATATATGTCGTCGTAACCTTGACATTGAGCGTCCTACTTATACCAATTTAAACCGATTAATTGGGCAAATTGTTTCATCCATCACGGCTTCACTGCGTTTTGATGGAGCCCTCAACGTAGATCTGACAGAATTTCAAACTAACCTTGTTCCATACCCACGAATCCATTTCCCCCTGGTAACATACGCCCCCGTCATCTCCGCTGAAAAAGCGTATCATGAGCAGTTGTCCGTGGCTGAAATCACCAACGCGTGTTTTGAGCCAGCCAACCAGATGGTAAAATGTGACCCTCGCCATGGCAAGTACATGGCCTGCTGCATGTTATATAGAGGTGACGTCGTTCCCAAAGACGTCAACGCAGCCATTGCTACCATCAAGACTAAACGGACCATTCAGTTTGTGGATTGGTGCCCAACTGGATTCAAGGTACTTGCACAGCTTTTTAAGGGCTTGATGTTTGGCTTGTTAGGGATTTGTGTAGCAGAGGTGACAGTCATTCTGCAGTGTTGTAATGTCCCTCTTAAACATTTTGATGAAGTGCAAAATAACTCAGCTATTCTATTTGTTTGTAATCGTGGTGATTTTTAATAACCTTTTTAACAGAAATAAGTCTTTAAGCCTTAGTGCTCATAAGGGAAATTTTCGTTTTGTTTTCTTGAAGGTGGGCATTAACTACCAGCCTCCGACTGTGGTGCCGGGTGGTGACCTCGCGAAGGTGCAGCGGGCTGTGTGCATGCTGAGTAACACCACTGCTATTGCCGAAGCATGGGCTCGCCTCGACCACAAATTTGACCTCATGTACGCTAAGCGTGCCTTTGTGCATTGGTACGTGGGGGAAGGAATGGAGGAAGGAGAATTTTCTGAAGCCCGGGAAGATCTGGCTGCCCTTGAGAAAGATTATGAAGAAGTCGGCGTAGACTCAGTAGAAGCAGAAGCTGAAGAAGGAGATGAGTATTTAGAAAACTGAAGTCTAGAAAAAAGTATTAAAAAAAAATAATAATAATTGCAGAACCCTGTTCACTTGTTTGTTTTCAAATGAAGTTTTAAAGGTTCTGTTTTTTTCTTCTGTACGATTTATGTGTAGACTCACTGAGCAAGGACCGGTTGAGATTGCAGGTTTTGGTAGCATCTAGTCATGTGCAAATTATAGAAGAACTGAGGAGATTGTGTGCGCTTTCCCATGATCCCAACACATTCTGAGATGTACTCACTTTGATTTTTGGTTTCTTGCAAGCAGGAAACTGCTTCTACTTCAGGTTGTTGTAGCACTACACTGTTACTATTCCAAAGGAAAAGGAAAATAAAAGAGCAGATCTGTTACCTGCTTGAAAAGAGCATTGTTGGTTTTTTTTTTTACGTTCCTACGTTGGTTTAGTGAACAAATATTGTGATGTCCTTTAACAGTACGTTAACGTGAATGCAGCTTTCTGGACACTGGGCAACAGTCAAGCTGCAGGACACTCAGCTCAGGTAAAAGCTGCTGATCTGCTACCCTAAGTTTTTAGTCACCAATTCTGAAAAGGAGAAAAAAACTAAGGGTTTTGTTGGGGGTGGGGGGGTGTTGTACGTTTGGTTTTGGTTTTTTCTTTCCTTACAGGAGGGAGAAAAAGGGGCTACATGTGCTAGGGATGCTCGGACATGAACCATGTTCAGAAGTACTTGTACCGCCCGCGTACGCGCAGTTAGAGAGTTGTGACGAAATTACGGCTGCGTTACTGAATGCC